CTATAATCTCTTCGAAACAGGGCAATTCGATTCATACTAAAAGAATACACACCTGTAAACGTCACACAACGTAAAGCCTCAATTGGCTTACAAACACTTCAGCAGAGAAGATATCTTGCTAGGCTATAGCATTTTCATAAGCTCTTTGACTCTTCAACTGGATTTCACTATAATAACGTTACCCCCCCCCCCCCCCCCCCCCCGCATCTTTCCTCGTGATGATCACCCCAACAAAGTTCATATTGCCTTCGCAAAAACTGACTTGTATAAATTTTCCCCACTTCTGCAGGCCATAGTCGGCTGGAATGAGTTGACAAGCGAAATCGCACAGACAACAAACCATGACACGTTTGTTTCATTGTTACGTGGCTCTTTATCATGACATCTATTTTGTTTTCTTTTTTTAAGTAGCGTGTGTACGCTTGGTGCCTTCATATTTCCACTTGTTAATTTCATCATCGCAGAGTAAGTCTTTACTGTAAGGTTTTTTATGTACCTTCTTTATTGGTAGCACTTGTACACATTTCTTCTGTATTACTTTTAAATTAATTAGAACTTAATACATGCCGGTGTGCGTGACCATGCACCATGTTACGCACTATTGAGCTCTGTTAGCGTGATTGTTTCATTTTATATTTTAATGCAATTAAAACATTGTGCGACTATGATGACATCCTATGCACCCCCCTCGTCTACTTCATGCCCCTTGTAGACCTTTAGAGGTTAATTATTTAATTAATTAATTAATTAATATTGAGCGGCATTTGGGCAAACCGACTTCCGGGGATGTCTACGATGAAACGACGTAAATTCAGGCCTACAAGTCCATCGTAAGTATAAAAAAAAAATCTATTTCGTCAAGAGCAATATTAACAAAGCTCCCTGAATCAAAAGAGGTCTCACCGAGATTTGAACTCGGATCGCTGGATTCAAAGTCCAGAGTGCTAACCATTACACCATGAGACCGAATATTTCCGACGCCGGGAATCGAACCCGGGCCTTCTGGGTGAAAGCCAGATATCCTAGCCACTAGACCACGCCGGAGACGTCTAACCTTGAAAGACTGCATTTTTTTCTACCCATTACGAGTACCGAGATGATTCGAAAAATGCTACTTCATACCCCAAACCAGTGAAAAAAATTGCTTTTATGCAAAAAAACGTCGGCTCAATTGTACCGTAGTCTCCATAATACCTGTTTGTTTAGAAACAAACGTCATAGACAAGCGTTTTCGCTGACGTGTCGACGTAACAGCTGGGAACGTTGCTCTCCCAGCAGGTGCGAGCCCGTACCCAACAGACCGAGCACGCATCTGTGACATTTCACAGCCGGGAAGCTAAGACCATTGAGGGCTGTATCGTGAGCTTTCACGTCAAAAAAGAATGCCGGTGTACTCAGTTCATTCACAAAACTGGCGTACTCTGTTATGCCCTTGTCGAGCATTTGATAGGAAATTCAAGCGCTTGACTATATCTTATGCATGCTTCTCAAAAGGCTTGACATGTGATGCGGATGTCTTCAAGGATGTGAGTCGGAAGTATTGGAAAGCTGTAAGAGGCCGCTTTTTGTTACCTACCCACGTGCTTGCCGCTGTTAGCGAGGCGAATTGTTGTTGTGCAGTGTCGCGACCGGATTCTGTCAATTAAATATTAACACGGCCACACAGCACGTGTTTGAGTATTTAATGTGGCAAGAGTCGCCATTTTTAGCGCCTGGCTTGGGTATGAAGAAATCAACTGCTACATTAATACTAAACACTTCGTTGTTTAGTATACAAGTCAGCAATTTTGAGCACTTAATAATGTTATATTTGGTGTAGATTTTCATGCTGGTCTGAATCTGAAGCATTTGTAGATTTTATTCGTTTATTTGTGATACATGTGTAGTCCTAATAGAAAATGCGTAGACAAAATAATTTTTAAGAATTAATTTTATAAGTGCTCGAAATATTATGTTGAGATATACAAAACAATTAAAAAGAAATGCGTGCGCGACAGTTGCCTACAACATACAGTGGAAGACCCCCAAAAACTCAATTAATGAAATGTAACTCATACACGTTGTTGTTAAAATGCTTTTTTACGAATTGATGAATAGGCAATTTCAGGAAAACAAACAAAAAAAAAACACTGCGTGTATGTATACGTTTAAGGCTAGAAATACTTTGGAAGGAGTGAGCTTGCCTTTCATTCTTTCGATTATTTGTGCATTTCTACTCACTCACTGATTGTTTGTCGCATTCTTATCTTTTTAATATTTTTGCTGAGCGATCATATTTATTAAAGAAGCTGATGACGTAATATTTGTGTACGTAGTTTTACCTACAAAAAGTGGGGAAAATATCTGATTCGCCCTTATACATTTCCAAATTGTGTGATATGTGTTATCAGAAAAAGTCTTAAAAATCATGTTACATTTCACTTGATATGTGAAACGTAGAAATGTAGCAATTTTTCGTGCACGTATTTTATGTAATAATCGTTTTCGCTTTGATACTTGGCTTTTTTTTTAATGTTATTCTAGGTCTAGGTAGATATCCTTTTAGTTTTAAGTAGTGTTTAAATAAAGAATTATTGTCGGTAAACTGATATTCTGCAATATAATAAATACGAACGATAATGTGTACGAGATACATTACATGTATGATCACTCCTACTCTTATGTTTTTACAAATCTGAACTGCGTGAATACTTCCATTAAGATTGTAGTCTGTGTTCATACTCGTGTGTTTTTACATTTTCTACGTATCGCAGCTTAAGGCATAAATAGCAGCTGTAGCTTCGTCTGCGCATTACGATTGGCGTAAGTTTCCACCACTGTCTTTGATACTCGAAGCTCCGGAACACAACATTTTCTAGACAAGCTCCCCAATGAGATGTCAAACTAACAGCAGACTGGCCCTAGGACAAGCAGTAGAAAAGCGTTATCAAGTGTTTACGGCAGCTTGGTAAGTATTTTTATAGTTAAAGTTAGCGCTAATCAGATGAGAGCGCCTCATTTGTGCCGTCGCTAACGTCTGGAGGCCCGTTATCATACGCATTTCGTTGCTGATAGGCTTATCTCACAACCGCTTCAGCAAATTCCCAGCGAGATTGTGAGCGAGAAAGGGTCGGAGCCAAAGGAACCCTTTCTTCCGCGTCAACCAGACACTCCGGTCCGCGCGTCCTCCTCTGGGTGACAACCAAGTGCAGCTCCGTACAGGGGATAAGATAAGATACTTATGCAAATGAGTTCAAACGAGTCAATTACGCGGCCCGAGACGGGAGCGAAGCGGGTCTGCAGCAGTCCAGTTAGAGCGGCTAGAACACGCACTCCAAGAAAAATCAGGTTTAAAAAAAAGCGAGAAAACAAACGTATTCCCGGTACCTCGTGTACCGGGATTACGTTTGCCATGAGTTATGGCGAGCGGCACAGCGAGCTTGACTTCCGCGTAATGTCAAGCAACGTTTTTTTACGTTTAACCGAAACATTCGTGTCTCGAATTTCGCGTGTCCCGGTGACTTGCAGCGTAAGCAGACATAATCTTTCGTAACGTAACGCAACGTAACGTAACGTGACGTAAAAAAAACGGGGCTGTTTGAACCAGCTTACGCATAGAGCGCGGGAACAAACGAAGCTCTGACCCGCGTTTGGTGTCGCGCGACATGTTGCGCAAGCAAGGCTCGCTGTGCCGCTCGCCATGACTTAAGCCTAGTTCACATGAAGCGGTTTTGGCCCTAGAGCGGCGCGATTTCTGCCGTCGCGGCGCTCTGGCCAGCACCAGCAATTCTGCGGCACGAGCGCCGCAACGGCAGAAATCGCGCCGCTTCAGGGCCAAAATCGTTGCATGTGAAACCCGCTTTACGCCACTACATTTTTGGTGCTACGCACCCCTGATATGGCGTATTAGAATCTTTCAATCGTGATACTGTGTAGTGTATACAGTTCAAATTCACTCAATTTTGCTGGCGACAAAACTGAGTAGTATTCAAATATTGCTCGGCATGACCGGGAAAATATTTGATGCGTTTTGCTCATTCATTTTCAGACGCTTACGTAAACTCTAAGTATTAAAAATTAGGAATAAACAAAGGTATACTGAAGGCCGATAATTATGTTTCGGGTGTTCTTAAATTGTGTCACAAATACGAGGTGGGTTGCCTTGCTTAGGGATCAGAACCGGGGTTCTAGACGAGTCCATACATTTATTGGCAAAAATTGTGGCGCTTGCGTAAACGTCCCTTTTTGGCTCGAATGAATGAAAAAAGAAATGTTTCTTCTCACCGGGGTGACATTGATTCTGTAAACACAACTATTACTCTATCCCCCGCCAAATCAACAGCGTGCGTTATCTTTCATTGGGGGGTTTTAGTAGACCGTGTTTCCTCCTCCTCTAAGTCCCTACGCTACCCGGAACTCTACAGTCAAGGCCATCGGCACGCAGGCGCAGTGGCGGTTTCGTCGTTGCGCAGGGTTAGCAGAGGGGGAAACACGGTCTACTAAAACTCCCTTTTTTCCACCACGACTTTTTCTCGCCAAATAAAGGGGCAGTCAAACTGCGGCGTAATCCGTAAACGGCTAAAAAAAAAAAAAAAAAAAGAAGAAAACAACAACTGGACTTTTTTTCCGTTTTTCTGTTTGAACACGAAAATGACGAACCACGTGGGTCTGCGCGCGAAAATTAGGGTGAAGGGGGGGGGGGGGGGGGGGGTCCATATCACAAGAGCGAATGACATTTTAGCGAACAGCCACATTTGAGCGAATGAACGTTTTAGCGAATAACGGGGGCGCGCGTTAACCCATCCGTCGCGCTGCGCTTTACGCCGCTTCGCGGCGACACTCTGCGGCAGCTCATTACAACAATATGAACCCACTTGGCCCACCCGAAAACGCCGCTTCGCGGCGTCCGACTATTCGCTAAAGTGTCGTTCGGCGAAACGTGGGCGTTCGCTAAAACGTCGTTCGATCAAGTGAGTGCCTCCCCTCGTCTCCCTTTGGCGCCGTCCCTGCTCCTCACAGAATTTGCCTTCCAACCCAGTGGCTCGTCTGACTCCCGCCGGCGTGAACCCGGAATTGCGGTCTGGGAATGCTGCTCACGGGATTGCCGATGAGGACGGCTTTACGACGGTTGGACCACGACGACGAACCAAGCCGTCACTTGGAACCGCCAGACCTAACAAGGTGACTGCTGTTCCTCGACCGGAACGCCGTTTAGCGCTCTTTCTATCTAGGCTTCATCCTGACACGACTGTCGCCGATGTTGACGCGCTAGTGGAACCCTTTTTAAACGGAAAACAGGTCATTTGCTCAAAAATGATGACAAAGTTTGATTCATACTCTTCTTTTCACTTGTCATGCAATGAGTCCGTCTTCAATGTAATCAACAATTCTGAAGTGTGGCCGGAGGGCAGCATCTTTCATCAGTTTTTCGGACGACTCGACACCTCTCGTGTTATGAGTGTCAATCCAGTAGGAAATGAAGATGGTGAACAAGGTTAAAGTGTTTTATCAAAACGTACGGGGCCTACGTACGAAGGCCGACGAGTTCATGTTGAATTTAATTGTTTCCAAAGACGATATCATTTGTCTTTCTAAAACGTGGCTTTGTAATGGGATTCCAGATGAAAATCATTTTTGCCATAAGTACAATGTATATCGCCGAGATAGAGAGTACTCCTGTACAGGACAGAAGCTAGGCGGGGGTGTCCTTATAGCGGTTGAATTTTCCCTTGTCTCGCATCGAAGATTTGACCTCGAATCCTATTCTGAATGTGTTTGGGTTGAAATTAAGGCCAGTGATGGCTTCAATTACCTAATAGGTACCTATTACTTCCCACCCCTTTCAGACCAAACAGTTTTTATCGAGCATTTTGATGCAATTAGTAAGCAGAATAATTTAGAAAAGTGTCGTGTTCAAATCTACGGCGATTTTAATCTACCGGGTGTTGATTGGTTTGTGGAAACGGTTAAAGCAACACAAACACGTGTACCAAGGTGCATTCTTTGTTATCTTTTATAAACTTCTGCGGTCTTCAGCAACACAATACGATCGTAAATAAGGCCGGAAATGTTTTAGATCTTGCTCTTTGTAACATGCCAATTTTAAGTCTAAAGCGTGCTGTGAATCCTTTGGTTCAAATTGATGGTTTCCATCCACCTTTTACTGTTGAGTTTTCTCTCCCGTACAAAGCGAGAGTTCCGTGTAACTCATCAAACTACTGCTTTTCTAAAGGTGACTATTTAAGTCTTTATAGACACATCGAACATTTTGATTGGGGTTGTGTTCTTTCTATGTCAAATGTTGATCTTGCCACCGAAACGCTTACTACAGTTGTAAAAAGTGCCATCGAGAAAGTTATTCCTAAGTGCTACAACAAGCCGTCGATATTTCCTAACTGGTTTTCTAAAGAATTAAGGCTTAACCTAAGAAAAAAGGATCACATTGACCGACTTTATAAAAATACCGGTTCTGATCTTTGGTACGCCAAATTTTGCATATATCGTTCCTTAGTGAAAAAACTGTTCAAGCGTGATAAATGTCTACATCAAGACAACGTTGAAAATAGTGTAAATCGTCGACCGAAGACGTTTTGGAAGTTTGTGAAACTTCATGCACGTGAGGCTAGTCGCACTATCTGCCTGCGTGATGGGTCAGATAATGCTCCTTGTTATCAATCTGCACCCGCTGAGGTTGCAAATATGTTCGCTGATTGTTTTAAAAATTGTTTTTCTTTCGATAACCAATCTTATCACCCTGGTGACAATTTCCTATACTGTCATGATTTTTTGTCTTCAGTGCGTGTTGATTCAGCTGAAATCACCGAAGCGATTAAAAAGCTGAAACCGAAGTTTTCCAGTGGCGCGGATGGGATACCAAGTTTTATCATCAAAGGATGCAGTGAACTGTTCGTTCTGATTCTAAAGCATATCTTCAATCTTTCTCTTAGTTCGAGTACATTTCCGTCTCTTTGGAAAAGATCGGTGGTCGTTCCGGCTCTAAAAAATGGCGATGCGTCCCTTGTTACAAATTATCGCCCAATTTCCTTGCTTTGTGGCTTTTCGAAAGTTTTCGAGCTTGTCATCCGTAAGAGAATGCTATTTTATTTCCGACAAAAAATAACTTCATTGCAGCATGGTTTTTTGAGTGATCGGTCAGTCGAGACTAATTTATGTATATTTTTAGACTTTTCTGCCCCAGTTGTGGCTAACAGAGGACAAGTCGACTCAATATATTTTGATATGTCTAAAGCGTTCGACAAAGTGAGCCATAAATTACTCTTGCGTAAACTGTCTTCATATGGAGTGTGTCTTGAATTATGCGAATGGTTTGACAGCTATCTGTCACTGCGCCCAAACTCTGTTCGGATTGGTGACTGTTTCTCTGAAAATTTTTTTTCGTCGTCCGGAGTTCCCCAGGGATCAATACTGGGCCCTCTTTTGTTCTTGATCTTCATAAATGATATTGTGTCTTGCGTAAACAGTTCCGAACTACTTCTTTTTGCTGATGACCTTAAGTTGTTCAAAAGCATTAATAGTCTTAAAGATTGCGATGTCCTGCAAGGTGACGTTACCAGCGTTCTTCAGTGGTGTACAACTAATCAACTGCTGTTAAACCCCCAAAAAAACAAAAGTGATTTCTTTTTGCCGTAGGCATTCTGTTTTTGATTTTACTTATTATCTCGATGGATCGCCTATACAGCGTGTATCAATCTTAAAGGACCTTGGTGTGTGTTTTGACAGTGCTTTATCTTTTAGAAATCGTGTGTCATTGGTCGTGGGCAATGCTTTTAGAGCGTTAGGGGTAATTTCTCGTTTGACGCGTAATTTTAGAAACCCTCATTCAATGGTTAACCTTTTTAACTCTTTAGTGAGGTCACGACTGGAGTTTGCTTCTGTTGTATGGAACTCGATTTCTAACACACAGGCTATGAGCATAGGAAATGTTGAGAAAAGCCTTGTCCGGATCGTTTATGATAGATACTTTGAGCGGCGCTTTTATTATAGGTATGAATATATAATGAAAATGTTATCTCTTTCTCTATTGTCTAAAAGGAGGACTGTTCGTGATTTAATTTTTCTGCACAAGGTTGCGAATGGTGCTGTTGATTCGGCTCAACTCCTTGCAAAAGTGAACTTTCATATTCCATTCCGAGTAACTAGACACTTCGTTTGTTTTGATGTTCGCTCGCCGTGTAACACCTCACCTCTCATACGGATTGAGTCATGATATCATACCTTCGCTCTACCCACCTTGATATATCTGCATCAATTTCAATGTACCGTCGCGATTTAAATGATATTATTCTAGCCCCTTAGCATTATGTTTGTCTTGGATGTTTTATTTTATTTCATTTTTTTTTTAGTAAATGTTTAGAGCCTATGTACTTGCTTGCTCATTTTGCTTGTTGTGTTGGTGCACCAATAAGAAGACCAATGTGGTTGTTTTTGGGCACCCCAAAATAAAGATTATTATTATTATTATAAACCAAAAAAGTGACGCAACATTTGTATCCGCTTCCGAGTTTTTTTCTCCTTGTAGCGCCGTGGCCGTTGGCGATCGTCGGCGATCGCAGCCGTGTAATCGGCCGTTTCCGCTCAAAACATCGCACTGTGCCCTGCCATTAGGACCCGTCACAGAATCGCGGCTAAATTGAGCGTTGTCTCGTGAACTGTTCCCGAAGTGCTCGCTATTCTAGCGCACGGAAATGTTGCTGCGGTGGACGTTCATTCATCCGAAGTTTTTTGGTTTTGGAGCAGACGGCCCTTTGCAAGCAGACGCCAGCCGGTTCCTCAGGGCCTCTCATTTGGCGTCGTGACACAAACGCTCCCGCGTCGTCGGGTCATGTGCTTCGCTTCCACAGTTCGCCGAGTTATCGTGAAACAGAGTATAGACATTTTCCACGGGAGCGCCGCCATCTTGAGTTGTCGTCACTTCCAGTATGGGCGACGACAAAATAGTAAAACGTTTCAACCTGTAACTAGTAAAAAAATAGAGGGGAGCCAAAACGAGAATGTGTGACGGTTAGGCTTATATCCTAAATGTCTTTTATTGGCGTGGTGACGGCTAAGTAATGTTTTCGCCCATACTGGAAGTGACGACAATTCAAGATGGCGGCGCCCTTGTGGAAAAGGTCTATAGAACCACTGAAAAAGGTACAAGGCGTGTACAAATATGCGAAAAACAAAGATCAAGAAACGCCCATGTGTATGCGTTGTTTTTATCTTTGTCGTGTAATAAAGTGTGATGAAAATAAATAAAGTGGTGTAATAAATTTTATTCCCTCTCTTTCTCCTAGCGGAGGTAGACGCTGCTACGGAGCATGCGCACAGCTAGCTTTGTCTTCAGAATTTCCAGCGATTTTTTTCTGGTCCCCGTAGGCTATAGCGGGATGACGAGTGTGGTTAATAATAATAATAATAATTCCTTTATTTTCCATCGAAGATGGGGGAGGTGGAGGAAAAAAAGCTGCTATAGAGCAGCTTGACGTGTCCTCAACCCCTACAAACAGTGGTTCGGCGAAAAGGTTTTTGTAGTTGTACGTAAATCGAGTCACTGATTTCCCTGCTTTCCCTGCCTTGTCAGCTTACAGGTGAACGGATGGCACCTACGTTCTTTTTTTATTAAATACGCTATTTTATTTTTATAAGGACTAGCATAATACGGGCGTATGAGAAATGGAAAGTAGTATCGCAGAACATTCTTGAAAATATCAAAATTGTTTCATTTTTTCTTGATAAGTGTGCGGGAAAAGTAAGTGAAAGTAACGTGTAACGTAACGAGTAAAGTAATGAGTTACTTTTCAGCGAAACTAATTTGTAACGGTAATCAATTGAGGCCCTGTAATTTGTAGTTGTAAACAAATACATGTTACAAGTAACAGGCGCGAGTCTGGGACCACGGCGACGCCGCGCCGCCCGACTCCACGCAGGCCTATCCTCAACCTCCTTTCCACCCCTCTCGCGAACGGGATTGGTAGCATCCAGTGGTTTCGTCATGGAGCACGTCACGGGGCGAGACGAGGAGTGGTCTCTCCGGCTTTGCCGTGAACCTTGTGCGGCTCGCCACGGCCACAGCGCCAGTTTACATATTCCTTACCGGGTACAGGTTGACCCGTATCGCTTGCAAGAAGACATCAGGTGCAGGGAATGCACTGACCTCTCTGGATGCGACATATACTATC